AAATAATCTGCCCACTGCGCTGCCAAACGCTGATCTTTCCGTCTTGCATGATCTTAAACAAAACGTGCCTATCCATTTTGTGCTCTAAGTCTTAGCTCGGTCCTGCATGCAAGAACACTGGCATTAAGTGTTCTAGGCGCACTTGGCGGTGATCAGGTCGCCACGCGTTTTCAGAAACCGTGCATCGGGCGCTTCGTGTCTTCAGAAACCGCACATCGAACTCCAGGCGTCTTCTGAAACCATACATTTGTGGCGTGCGTCGTTGTTCGACAGCACAGCCAGCCATTCGAGCAGCAAAAAGCTGAATGCGAGATGAGGCCTGGCATTAATGCAAGATTGCAACGTCATATCTTCAACGATGGCCATCAAACCAATTGACTGCCGGACAAGTAGCGACAAAAACCATTAACTGCGAGCTTTCCCGACAACCAATCACCGCCGCGCTGACCGCGCCGCTGTCCGCCGATTGGTGGACGGCGGCCGGCCCGAAATTTCTTGCAGATCACGTCGTCCATCGCAATCAGCGGGTCGTGACCGAAATTGGCGGCGGACGGCGTGGTTTGCAGCGTCGCGTCACGGCCCACAAAATGGCCGTCACCTGCGTCCGCCGGTGGGTCCGGCTGTCCGGTCGTTAGCGCTATTGATAGCCGCCGCCGCGGTGCATACGAAGCAGCGGCGTGCGGCGCGCTGGACAGAGTGTCGGTCGGCGAGCGTCAGGCTGTTCGCCGCCGCCGCCGCCGCCCGCGCAGCGGAGAGAGAAGCCGGCACCGGCGCTGGAAATGAGCGGACTCCTGCTACGGGTGGTGGTGCGAGTGTGGACCAGACTAAACCGAGCCAGGCCAAACTAGGCCCGGGCAGAGGAGAGCAGGGGGAAGGAACAGAACGATGCAGCACCCGATCAGAACAGAACACAACTCAACAGACCCAAACCAAGGAGAACAGATCATGCTAGACGGGACCATCCCGGGCGGCACCTATGGCCGCGCATCACTGGAGTGCGGACGTGTGCACTGGCGCTGGGAGATGCAACGAAAATCGCCTGCAGAGACAGATGTGATGATGGCGAGACCCCGCCTCCAATCTCTCTGCTCTGTGCGGCCACCCGACAGCGCTAAATCCAGCGTGCTTTGTTGAGGTGTGAACCCAACGTGCTTTGCTGAGGTGTGAACCCAGCGTGCTCTGTGAGGTACCATCAAGGCACTTGTTTTCTCTCCCGGTAGACCCCGGCCGCTCCCCACTCTCCCTGGTCCCGAATTCCAAAACCTGTTTGCCTGCAGAACAGCGGGAGATGACGTCAGGGACGGTACCGGTGTGAGACGCTCGCGGGTGTGACTACAGCCAGAGTGCACAGGAAGACCTGATGACATACTGGCCGGCGGAATACATCCCCCATGCGTCGGAACTCGAAGGCCAACAAACGTAGGAGGAAAGAGCGGTGGTGAAATGGGTTGCGGGAACCTATTCGAGAACCAGCGCAATGGTGAGAGTGGGCTCGAAATCTGTTTATTACTTCTGGTGTCGAACGTTCTTCTGGAAACTTCGTTATCCTTACTTTGCAATTTGTCGGAATCGCATTGTTTTGATTCGAATTTCCACCGGTTTCTTGAAAAATTACCTCATTTTTTAGAACAATACTGAACACAGGACAACATCGTCAGATAGCAGCTGACACCTAACGCAGAAAACAAAGCATTACTCATGCGCCCTTCTAGTTTGCATGTCCGCAAGTGTGGACTCCTGAGCTGTCTCTGTAGATTTCGCTACATGCGGCGCCAACGGCCTAAACTACGATGCCGTCCAAACGTCGTCAAAATAAAGAAGTAGACCGTAGAAAGGGATATGCCGTTTGAAGCACGCCACGAAATCCAATAGTTACAATAGCCCAGGGACACTGTTCGCGGCTAATAATGAGAGGGGACAGGGAAAAATGTTACAGCAAATAATCGGTTGTTGCAACAGACCTACCTCAAATTACGCTCCAGAACAAATTTCCCAGATTTAGTCACTTTTGTCCCAAAATGGGGAGAGGTGGGGCTGAAACACCCAACGCAACAGGAAATTACGACTGCAAGAAACCGCTCAAAAGAAAGCAAAAATTTGAGGGTGAGGATAGCATAATTTCAGCAAAGATATTTAACGTATGTCAAGCAAACTGCACGTCAAAATGGGTTATATCTTTATGAACATAATTTCCTCCTTTTGCTCATTATTTCCTATTTCCGTTGTTTGAATACGTTTCCTCTACCTAAATGTCAAAAGCATCCTTCCGGTTACAGCGTCTGCCTCTCAACTTATCCCTGACGGGATGAGTGGATTTGGGTAGCTTTGGTGCTCGCTGTTATATCGCAGGAGCAGCTATATATATATATATATATATATATATATATATATATATATATATATGTATATATATATCGCTGCTCCTGACTGACCTATAGTGGGTGGCAGCGGCGACTCAAGATCAGCTGAGGTCAGAGGGCGGGGTGGGCCGTGCAGAGCATTGCGACACGCTAAATCTTCGCCACCAAATTCTGCCGTTGAACTGGAATTTTACGATGGAATGATGGGAGTGAGTGTTCACACAACGAACATCGCTTAGTGTGAACAGTGATCCCAGAAATCAGTTAAGCAATAAGATCTAAGCTTATAAGGCAATAACTCGCTTATATCCTGTGAAACCATGTAACTGTTATATTTCTCAGTGATCCATTCTTTAATTTACATCGCGAGAGACAAGACTTTGCAACGTATGACCTAACCTGACGTGGCCTGGCCGGTCCGGTTCGGTCCGCGCCGGTCCAAGCTTGGGCCACCCTGACTGGCGCGGTGTGCCGGGGCGCAACCCTACGTGGTGCGCGCTGATTGGCCAGTGGTCACGTGACCCGTGTCTGGGTCGGGTCGCGGTGGTATAGGGAGCGGGAATAGACGAGAGGATCCGGGTGAGTGCGGGCGCGGGAGGTGTCGGCTTCCAGCGAAGCTGACCGTGAAAGTTTGTGATACACTCACATGATGACAACTGTGCTGGGATGTTCCATGCTAAAGCATGGAAAAGATAAGCTGGCACCCCAAACCTGCCTATCGAAAGAATGGGGTCACACTTGTTACCAACGGAGCGCATGTATGTGAAAGGACAATAAACAGGGTGGTGACGGCCGAGCGGCACGCCTGCCACTCAGCTCGGTGCTGACAGCTGGCGCAGGCCGCGGCGGTGCCGGTGTGGCGATGGAGTACCCAGCACCGCACTGCTGCCGGTCCGTCGCGCCGACCTTCGATGTCCCCCGCCGCCGCTGCACGCTGACCCGAACGGCAGACAAGGTCACGGCACGGGGCGTGACGTGGCGGACGGCCGCGGTGGCTGGCGGTCGCGCTTTGGGGGCGGTCCTGTCGCTGCCCCGACACGCGGAGGGTGATCTAATGCTTCCCACGGGTTCTGTGAGGGCGCTCTGAGAGCTCTCTGATGCACTCTGAGGGCACTATGGCGCACTCGGAGGGAGCTCTGAGGGCGTTGTGGTGCACTCTGAGGGCGCTCTGAGGGCTCTGTGGTGCACTCTGAGGGCACTATGGCGCACTCGGAGGGAGCTCTGAGGGCGTTGTGGTGCACTCTGAGGGCGCTCTGAGGGCTCTGTGGTGCACTCTGAGGGCACTATGGCGCACTCGGAGGGAGCTCTGAGGGCGTTGTGGTGCACTCTGAGGGCGCTCTGAGGGCTCTGTGGTGCACTCGGAGAGTGCTATGGTGCACTCTGAGGGCGCTCTGAGGGCTCTCTGGTGCACTCTGAGGGCACTATGGCGCACTCGGAGGGAGCTCTGGGGGCGTTGTGGTGCACTCTGAGGGCGCTCTGAGGGCTCTGTGGTGCACTCTGAGGGCACTATGGCGCACTCGGAGGGAGCTCTGAGGGCGTTGTGGTGCACTCTGAGGGCGCTCTGAGGGCTCTCTGGTGCACTCGGAGAGTGCTATGGTGCACTCTGAGGGCACTCCACGTGCGCCTTTCCGCTGCGGAGCGGACGTCGCCCACGGCCTTCCGTGGTGTCGTGGCGGCTCGCGGTCGGTGACTGAATACTGTCCCGCAGCCAACGGCAAACGCACCGTTGCATGTAGCAAGAGCGACACTTCCCAAAAACGATCGGAGGTGTGGGTTTCAGCACTTTTCCGTTTTGATGTCGTTTTTTTCCGGCAGCGCCACAGGGAACTGGAATACCAAAACTGATGGGGATAAGGCCCTCAAACACATTTATCAAACCTGCCGAACGTTTCGCTGTTGCCTTTTTGTGCGTCTTCACTCAAGGCGTGTGTTTAGAGCCCTGGCATGCGTATTACACAGCAGCAATGGCCTAAAACAGACCCGTCAAGTGGTTGCGCTGTGATTAGTTTAGTTCCATGGACATAAGACGTTTGAAGGGTATTAGAGAGACGCGCAGTCGTCCCGAGACCTCTCTGGTTACGCAATCACGTTTTTCGTCATGATGAGCTGTTCGCCGTCTGGCAAAACGAACCATCTTTATTTGATGTATGGTAGAAAGGCATTGGACCCCTGGTTTCTTGGATTGTGTGTTTTGAGTAACAACAATGTGCAGGCTGGCAACAGTGAGCCTGCACATTACCACAACCACGTTCATGATAACTGAGGGTTTCATCACAATTAATGTAACAAGCCGACCGAGCGAAGTCAACGGCTGTTTGGCTCTTAAGGCTGTGCTGAGCTTATGAATGACCCTATACTTGTCTAACTATAAATTGTGCTGCAGTCGAACATGCAGGGATGTGCGAGATGATCATAATCGAATCAGCCTGCAGCGCAGTTGTGGTTTTCATCATGCTGTCTTCAGTATCTGGTGACCTGCGAAGTGATGCAATCAGCCACTTGATGACCTGCGAGGTGATTGCATTCATCCCACTTTTTCTTACCTTTGTTGGGTGGTAATTGACGTACTATATCATTACGATGCCCATCATTTTGGTGGTTTGGATTATGATGCCCTTTGCCAATAAAACACTGTGTGCCTGCGCTTATGGAGCATCATTTTTTGTTTACTTAGTGATTAGACAGCCCCGATTCTGAATAGCAGACCACGGACGAGCAGAAACTCGGTCAGGGACAGGCCGTTTCTGTGGCGAGACACGCTTGGGAGGCCGCAGTATGTCGACGATGCCCGTGATTGTTGATAATCTGAGGACACGGTTTGGGTATCTGGATTCCTTCAACCAGTGCACCACGATAGTGAAGTAACAGGCTGTTTAAACTGGCATTTCGTCATGCGGACCAGATATTAACCACGCCTCAATGTTGGTTGCCCAAACCATCTCAATCTAAATGAATAACACACCCAGCTCAGGATGTTTACTAGTCATAGTATAATGGCAATGAACCCGTAGAGTACAGGAAACGTCTCGCCGTCCTATCATCTTAACTGTGTTTGCCGATAAGAATTAATGCTACTGTGAGGGGCTGATACATGTCCACCTCGTTGTTCGTTCAGTCTTCCAATGCTGAGTGACGTGGTATCAGTCGACGGGCTGAAACAAGAGCAGCCTATGGACACCATGATGACTAAGGTCAAGTCTTCTATGAGTCAATATGAGTCAAATAGCAAACAACTATGTCACTGTTTACGGCCACGAGGCTTGGCCAACTATAGGTGTGGGCTGAATATGATGGTTAAAAGGAACTGATCAGGAATATTGTAAGTGATACTATGTTCGCCTCCGCCTCTCAGGCGTCCGTAATCTTGTGCAAATATTTCGGCAGACACAGTTCTGAGATCCAGTCTATGTGGTCTACCTGTTGTCCATCGACCCTGCCAGTTCCTTTTCTTGAAGTTCGTTGGTCTGCTGCTCGCCCACAGTGCCCCAGTCGTCCGTGAAGAGGCGGCATTCCGGCCCCGTTCAGAGGCCCTGCTGCTGGCCCTGCTGGAGGAGCTGCTGCTCACGCTGCTGCTGCCGCTGCTCGACTTGATGCAGCCAGGGCTCGATCCAGTCGAGCTGGCGGCGCACGTCCGCGTACACGCCGGGTACGCCGGGCACGCCGCAGCCCACGCCCCACGAGACCACGCCCAGCTGCACCCAGCGCTCAGGGTCGAGCGGGTCGCGGCAGGCGAGTGGTGAGCCGCCGTCGCCGGTGCACGTGTCCTCGCCGCCCACGCCGCCGGCACACGTGAACGACCGGTCTAGGCCGGAAGTACTTGCCCAGCCGGGTCTTGCGCAGCGCGCGCTGGCAGGCCGCCTCGGCACGTGCGGGCATGCTCGATCTGCTTGAGCACCGTCTGGAAAAAGCCGTCATCGAAGGCGTCCTTGCCCCAGCCGGTAGCGACGGCAGTCGGCGCGGTTGTAGTTGACATCAGCGGTCGGCAGGCAGAGGGTGTCGATGTGCTCCTGCAGTGCGCGGGCTCGGACAGGAACAGTAGGGCCACGTCATCGCGCAGTCGTTTCGGGTCGAAGTCGGGGTGCGGCTCGAAGCCGTCCGCCTCGATATCCAGGTGCGGCAGCACCTCAGACTCGCGCTGCGTGTCCCACTCGCCGAGCCGCACCACGAGACGCGAGCCCTCCAGGTCTTGCAGGCAGTGAGCCGCCGTCAGCACCACCTGTTGGTGGATCAGCGAGCCGCCGCACACGAAAAAGTGGCGACACCTCATCGCCCAGCTCCTCCACGCGCAGCACGGCCACCATCCAGGGGAACTCGCCGAACTGCGACTCACTCTCGTTGAAGCCGATGATACGTGCGCCGATGCCGTCCGGCCGCCGCCGGCCGCACTGCGGAACGTACGGGTGGTGGCGCGGCTGGCGGCGGTCGGCGCCGGCAGCGGCGCCACGCAGCACACGTCGCCAAAGCGTGCGCATTCCGAGTGCGTGAGGAAATCGTGCTCGTCTTCGAACTGCGTCTTGCCGATGCGGATGTCGAAGGCGCCCAGCTGGTCGCTTACGATGTCCTCCTCGCCGCAGCGGAAGTAGGGCACGCACTGGAACTCGCCGCGCTCGCAGGGGCGTGGCCGGCTCCGGCTCCAGCCCGCTGTCGGTCTGACACCCGCCGGTCAGCGCCGCCAGGAAGTCTTGGTCGCTCAGGCTGGCTGTGTCGGTGACACTCTTGCACTTGGGCGGCGGCTGGCCGTCGTCGACAGTGCCTAACAGTGCGTCCAGCAGGGCGGCGTCGCTCGCGCTGGGACTTCGGCGCGCCGGCAGGCGGCGGCGCGTCGGCGCCGCCCGTCAGTGAGTTGAGGAAGGCATCGTTGTCGGCCGAGCTCTGCGCCCACGTCGCCCGCGCAAGCACCAGGAGAAGCCAAAGCGATGGCTGCATCTGAAACGCGACAAGGGGTATGCGGACACAGGGATGAGTATGTCTTCAACTTTTAGCGCGCCGTCTGGGCTATTACGCGGTCGGCCAGCGGTCAAAACGTTCATGGGTCACCAGGCCTGCGGAGCTGGTCCCCGGTTCAGCAGTGCGTCCTGACGGGCTCCTGAGCGACCGGAGCTTGTCGGGGTGTAACGACCAGCGACTGGAGCATCAACAATTCGGTGCTCTTCGGTTTCCACGTGCTGTCATGCATGAGGCACACGTCGAGCCGGGTGCTATGCAAATAAATCAGCTGTTTACAGATGCGAACACAGGTCGGAGGATTGGCATAAGCATGGGTTATGCGCGACACGAATGAGTGGGAGCATGTGTCCGTTCACTTAATACTCGGCCCCAAAATGCGACCGATCGCCGTTACACACCGCGAAGCATCATCGCACAACGGCCTGTCTGACTTACCGCGGTATCGCTGCTGTGTCACTGCGCCGGAGGCTGGCCGACCACTGACTAGACTCTGCCCGGCGACGGCCTCCCCACTGTGCCTGACGGCGCTCATAAACAAACCCGCTCCCCGGAGAGCACGCATCTGCGCCGCATCGCCAGAGGCACCAGATGGCGCCAGATGACGCCAGATGATTTGGACGCCTCATGAGTGTAGAAGCGCAGACAAACCGGACAGCTCCGGCGTTCGCGTACAAATTTCAGTTCTGGTAAAGAAGACTGGCACACCCATCAAACACGTGTCTTCATCTAGATCGACTCCTTGGCATACATCCATTCATGGAGCGTCAAGAAAAGCGATGCTGCCGGGGTCGGATTTGGTACGGATATTGTTTCGGTAGGTGACAGGCATTGCACCTCGATGTTGCCACTATTTCTATACCCTTTCGGATACATTGTGTGTTTACTGATCCCGTGAGTAGTATACGTTGCCTGGATTCCTTACCGCAACTGGCAAACTTGTTCCAATTCAATCTTGACGTTGGTGCGTAATATCCATATTTAAAGGAGAATGCACCCGATTTCCACGATGCAATACTACGCGTCATCACCGAAATCACGTCAAACAAGCTGACCCGAGGCCAATATCTTCTGGGGAGGATAGATTATCGACCATTGTGCATCGATTGGTGAACGATTCGACCATACTCCAGGCACGGAGCATTGGGTTGTCTAAAAACTAATTTCTGGTGATTTGAGACGTTTTTGGAGACATCCGACCTGGCCTAAGTTTGCCTTGTTCTGGAAAGGATAAGGTAATGGCCATGACGTATCGATTGGTAAATATTTTGAGCTGATCGGTCCCATAGGCGCAGAGCATGTGGCTGTCTGGGAAGTGATATTTGCCTGCCTGATATATGCCTGATATTTGGTGGCCTGATGACCTGATAAATGCGTTTTTGGTCATGTTTAACCTGACCTAAGGTCGTCATGGTCTGAAAAGAATAAGATATTGACTATGGCACGTTGTTTGTTGAAGGCTTTGTGGCAAGGATATCACACAAGCTCAATGCATGGGCTTTGCCTGCAAACCTATGTTTCCGATTTTCGGCGTTTTCGGTGAATTTTTGACCTGGACCAAGATCATCGTTTTCTAGAGAGTAGAGGTTATCGACCAAGTGGCATCAAGTGCTGCAGATTTGATGTCAGTCGGTCTGATACGCTCGGAGCATGGGGTTGTCAACAGGTTTTATTAGCCGTTTGGTCCCTCCCATCACGAAGCGGTGGTGGGGTCAGACTATTGCAGTGTCCCCAACGTTGCCAATTTGGGTTTCAAATTATCTCCTTTTGTTGGCAATGACAGGGGAATAACAAGTTTTTTGAACTTAGGGGTCAGAAAGCTTACCTCTAGTGCAACGACGCTTTGATACGGACTTTGAAAGCCGAAGTTATTTCGAGTAGCGGATTAATTCATGGGAGGTCAATTTTTGACAACGGAAGGTACAAAAATAAGGGCTCACATGCCATGCATAATGTTAAATTGCAACAATGTTGGTGCTCCCCCTCCCCCTCTTTCCTTAAACTTTACCGGCTTTGCCGTCCCCGCCAATTTTCCGCAAGGAAATTGGACTTTGCGTGCAAATAAGGAAAATTCAGTAATATTTATCAGGTTCATCCATCCAACTGACGTCTGACGTCTGACATCTGACGTTAGATGTCTGGCTTTCGTCTAAAAAGCACGCCTCAAGCTTTCGCAGCATATATCACCCAAACGTTTTTGCGCAGAAGTGTGTTCCAAACATTATAAACACACACGTTGGAAACAGGAAAGTACGTGAAATGCATAACTTTCATAGTAGTGCGCAGGGAGTCAAATGAGATTTCTTCGGCAGAGTCGGCTACTTGAAATAAAAACTTTGAGCGATTCAGAAGGATTTCGAGAAAAATCGTCTTACTGATGAAGTTGTATGCGTCTGATGTAACAAAAAGTGAAAAGCACAAAACCGTGGAGCATTCCCTTTAAGTTGTGTTAGTTCTTCTGGACCATTGAATTGATGTTTCTACGCTCTAGCTCTGGTCCATTTCTACTTTAATTCCCATTTGCATTTGACATCATTAATCCTTACCTTCATGATTTTGATCAATGACGATTTTTAGCTCCAACTTTTTCTTGTCGCTTCAGTTCTGCTTTTTGGTTTTCATTTTATTATCTGTCCTGCAATGATATCCTGCGGACCCAAACAGAGCATCTTAGCTCGCAGCGACTGTTGGCGACAGACTTGCAGCCAAGCCCACGTGGACGGGGCTGCACACTCCCTTACCGACTTTTTGGCTCCAGATTTTCAGGGGAAATGTGAAAATGAGTGCCAAGCGAGTGAATTTTTACATCGCTCACTATAGCACACAAAAGCACGACATTAATTCTCCTCCAAATCCCAAAAGAGGCATTTTGAAACTCTTACATTATTTTTCCCTGAGGAGAATCCCGTGAGGAACTCCGTGGGTGCCTTACGAGGTCACATCCACTTGTTACCAAAATACATGCATGCGTGCCTGGCGGACGATGGTGCCAAGATGATTAAATATGCGACTGCTGGAGCCAGGCTCGCACTTGATTCTGCCTCAGTGAAATCGATTCCGAATGAAACTCAAAATGCATGAATTAAGTTATAACTCCGAATCCAAATCGCCCAAAGCGGCTTTGAATCGACTCCGATTTTGATACAAAAAACGTCCCCCCGTTTTTGAACCCATTTTGATTGAGTCCATCCCGATTGAGCCGATTCCTTTGGCATCAGTTCGGACGATTGTTTGTTTTGTAGCCGTTATGAAGGCCTAAACATGGAACTGTATTCGTTAAAAGTATGGTTCTACAAGGTTGTATCACGTTGCTGTGCACGCATCAGAGCTATCAAATAAGAAAACATTGTGTCGTTACCTTTCCATTTTGGTCGACTTACGACAACTATGCTGATCCAAGTCCTTCTCGTCAACACAACAGTAATCAAAGGAATCGAACACACCATGACTCACAAAGATGTGTTTGATTCCACAGTCCATTCGACTCCACCCGAAGCCGAGCACAGGTTTGGTTGAGTGCCAGAAGTGAATCTCTGACAGGGCTGGTGATGACCGTTAATTCTCCCATGGCCACCCAGTTTGAAATTCCTCCCCCCTCAAGCGCGCGGGCACACACGCGGGCGCGGCGCGGGCACACAAAGACACTTCTGCGTCACTTTTGAACATGGAAACAGACTATCTCTTCTCTGGACATGGCTTTACCTAAATACATCAAATGGTCCGTTCCGTGACCTCACGCCATCGGGCCGCCCGCCACCCACTCAGCACGTGGGTCGAGTGGAAGCTTAAAAACACCTCTAGCGCTGGTTGGACGTGGCGCCTCGCGCTATTACTCTGCGCTATGAATGCGTTGTGAGCTCGCACAACTCTCACACGTTTTTTCAGAATTCTCCAAACCATCCTACATTGGTCCTGAAGAGGTTGGTGCTGACGTGCTCTTTGCGCAATCCCTGCCCACAGCCATGCTCGCCGCAGCCTCGTGTGACTTCACACTCGCTGTCTCTCGTGGACCCCGGCGCAGTGGTGCGGACCAGCCGTCGCGGTCAGGCATATACTCAACGCACCTCCGTACACCCCACTGGCGCCGCCCCGCCCCGGGGGAGGTTCGGCGGCGCCCCCGCCGCCGCCGCTCGGCGGGTGGTCGGGCCATTTCTTCGCGCCGGGAAGCGCGGCGGCGGCAGCAGCTGCCTCCGCCGCCGCCCGCCCGCCAATCAGCGCCCGCTGCGGCGGCGCATGCGTAAGCCGGAGTCTGCGGCAAGCCGCCTTCCGCGGTTAGTCGGCCGCCTGGTAGCGGAGGGGAGGCGTTGGCCGCCCGGCGCAGTCCGCTACCCGCCCGCTTCCGGTCGGCCGCCGCTGCCATGGCGTCCCCACCCGGGCAGGCCGCCGCCCACGCGCCAGCAGCACCGGCCTCAGCGCCCTCGAGTCGTACAGGGCGCTGCAGAGCTCGCTACGCTCCAGCAGGTGCTCTCGGCCTTTTCTCACATGGCCGGCCTCAGCCGCGGCCTCGGCCTGCTGACGAGTCCGGCGGTGGCGGCAGCGGCGAGCCGAGCGGCGCCAAGTTCGACTTCTCGCGGCTGGCCGAGTCGGCCACGGAGCCGAGCCCGGCCGGTGGTGCGCCGCCACCGCCGCCGCCGCCGCTTTCGCTGCTGCAGCCGTACCGGCCGCTGCTGCTGCCGGCGCTCTTCCCGGGCCTGTCAGCCGTGTTGCCGCTCACCCGGCGGCCCGGACCTGGCCGCGGCCGCGCCGCCCGCCCCAAGAAGCAGTTCATCTGCCAGTATTGCCAGCGCCATTTTACGAAGAGCTACAACCTGCTGATTCAACGAGCGCACGCACACGGACGAGCGGGCCCCTTCTCCTGCGACAATCTGCAGCAAGGCCTTCCGCCGGCAGGACCACCTCCGGGACCACAGGTGAGGTCAGCAGGCCATCCCCGAGACCACGGATGGGGTCAGGAGGACCACCCGGCGTAAACGTATGTGGGACCTGGCGTCAACAGGATCTCCCATGGGGCCACAGGTCGTCAGGACAAAGACTAGCTCTAGAACGACAAGGGTGAACGGGTTGTCCGCAGGACCACCTTAGAGACCTCAGGTAAGGACGGAAGCACCTCAAAACAACAGGGAACGTCAGGAAGACAGGGAATGCCTGAAGGACTTTAGGTAAGAAGGGATGTCAGTAGGATCATGGGGATCATGGGGTCAGTGGTGGAGGCAGGTTCGCCCACAAGAGGGGCCAGAACAGGATTAAAGTAGGCTGTCTCAGTCAGGGAGTCCCTATTCAACGCCTTAGGAGCTTCTGTTTGTGATTTCGGAGGATCGTTTTAGATTCTGCTTTCTTCCTTATGCCTGGGCTCCGTGTATTGATGCTGTGGAAGTCCTACGGACGTTTTAAAGTGACAAAAGCTGCTGGGTCCCTCGGCCCCCAGCGGGCCCACCACCTTCAGGGATGGGGTGCATTGTCCCAAAAGCTCCCCCCTGGATACGCCGCTACTAAAGGTTAGGTCAGCACGACAGGGCATACTACAAGCACCACGGATAAAAACATGTAATTAGCAGAACCGTGTCAAGGACCACACGCGAGAGGAGAGGGACAGAGCCAGCCCAAAAACGTAGACGACCTGCGGACGGGACTGACGTCAGCTGAACCTCCTTCACTACAACCGTAGGATAAGACGAGAAATGACTTGAACCCTGAGGTGTTCACAGGTTCAGATCGGTGTAAACCGCGCCAGGCAGTCGAGGACTAGAGAGGTGCCTTGTTCCGGTGCTATGAGTGAAACGTGGGAGGGCTCGCACTATTCCATTTATTTATTTGTTTTGCTTTCGTTTTGCAGAAATTTAAACTCACTGAAATAATTACTTTCGAGTTTAATACGTTTAAGGCCTCGGTATTGCAAAACCCCGATTCAAACTATGGATGCCTCTTTCCTTTTTTCATCATTCCCACCTGCGCGGCACTATTTCTGTCACGTTTCAGCCTTGATATGGGTACAGCGTAAAAGCAGTGGCTCCAGCAGTACCAGTATGGGGCGGCACTTGCTTCGTGGCCCGCTGTAAGAAGTGAAAGTCGGTGCTTCTTTTCTTCCATGTTTTCTTCAAGCTGAAAAACTGCTTCTTGAAATCAAATTTATATTCCGTTGGAAAAACTGGAAAGCTTCCCGGCAGGCCCAATGCTTTTCATTTTTACTTCTAAGCGTAGCCGGTCACATTCTTAAAGGACGCTACCGGCCTCCAATCAGCGGTATCTGTGGGCGCCCGTGCACCGGTGCGGTGGTGGGTTCCTCCTCTGGGGAGGGCCAGTGCCACTATGCCACGCCCGTAAGCGTTCCGAGCACCCACGCTGATTATGGTCCATCTCGCTGCTCGATGATTGATTCATTGACTGCCCCTCCCCTTCCCCCTCCCATGCTGCACGCTGGGTGCGCCTCGGCCGCCGGCATACTTTGCACCAATTGGGGATGAAGGGCGGCATCTGTTTTACGCGGCGCAAGCGGACCAGACAATGGAGATTCCACAGCCGTTCACCTAGCCTTTTCGAGGCAGTGATAAACACGGAGTATGTGGGGCGCCCAGGGCCGGACTATTACCAGACGACCAGCTAGCCCCCGAAGCCCAGTGGTCTTCGTCTCCACGTCACCTCATGGGGCCAACGTCGCAAGCTCGAGAGCACCTGGCGGTGGACGGTGGATGAGACTATCGTGGTCTGCAGCTAGACTCCCTAAATTCAACTAAAACTCAGACAGGAAACTCTCACCTCTGGCGAATATCCAGAGGCTAAATGAAGCTGGATTCACGCGAATAGGTTTCTTAAAATGTCAAGCGCTTCTCTATGACTTTGTTCGCCTACGTCCCATGTGAGTGAGAAATTGGAAGCGGAACACCCGCGCTGAGGCCACTCCTGTGCTGATGGTCTCAGCTGGGCAGCAGAGACAGACTTGCTGTGCACCCCCAGCCCCGGGAGGCCGGTCGGCACAGCGCGGCGAGAGGTGCGCGACCATTGATGCGGAGATAAACGCCTCCGATTTTAATGTGCGTCATAATTCAGGGACCACACATACAGGCACAATTTTGCAGCAAGTATTAATCATTGGCATCGTTGGGAGACAGACAAGAATTGTGGGCCTTGCAAAGAATTTCCGACACACAATACGGCCCGTGATTTAACCACGGCGAGCCGGATTTTACACGACCGTAAATTCCACACGTCCGTGACTTATGCTTAATAAATATCCCCACCGACAATAACCCGTCGGAATAATCAGCACTAAGAGTAACATTATAGCGCTGCTATCAATGATGTTCATTTTGAATTTATCGCGCCACTTTTTACTGGGCGCGGCGCGGCCGGCCGGCGCGGTGTGTCAGCGCCGACTAACAGGGGCGGCTCCGGGGCCGGGGCCAGTGGGTCGGAGGCCCAGGGGGCCTGTCATTAGGCCCGTCTCGGACCGGGCGTTCTTGACTGAGGAAAATCGGAGGCCACAGGGGATGACGATCATTGACTGAGGGGAGTTGGGGAGGGAACAGTTGGGCAGCGGCGCGCCCAACTACATTCCCAACTATCTTGCTGCAGACCCCGCTTTTCCACACCGCCCATTTGACCCTGCACCAAACGCACTGCGACAGAGTCAGAGGG